ATATACAAGATTAGTGCATGTCCCACACTTTACATATTTTATGACTTGATCAAAAAAAAAATGTATAGAATACCGGCTTGGGCCCTACTGCAGAGACTGTAATTTAATTGGATATCTATCCTCCAAGCCTCCTGATGGTTCTCCTGGGCAGTCAGGGTTGAGAAGCACTGTCTTAGAGGCCAGGACTGACCTTGGTGGGAGCCTAAGGCTAGAGGGGCTAAAAGGGGCCTCATGGCTCATGTAAGGTCCAGCTCACCAGGGTTTTGCCACTGCGTGCACTTGTTTCAAATCTCCTTTGCACACACTCTTTGGGGACAGGTGGTGGTGGTTGGCTGCTCAGGGGTCTTCCCATCAATCTTGCCAGCGTGTAGGAGAGCTCAGCAGAGAGGAGCCTGGCATTTGGGGGCAAACTCCCCCAGTCCCCAGACTGCGAGTATAGCCACACGTCTTGCGGGCAGTACCTTAAAAGGAGAGCAAGGCTCCAGTGTCGGGGAGAATCTGGAAAATGCAGGAGTAGGGACCCTCCAACCACAAGAGCACCTGCATTTCTTGTGAAGGGCAGCAGCTCCTGCCCTGGGAAAATATTTGCTAAGCTGGATCTGAGCCTGATATTGATTTGGAGGGCCAGCTTAGGCTCCTTGAACACACTTGGAGTTTGGGTTGGCAGAAGACAGTGTTTGCCACCACCAGCCTTTTCCTCCTACTATTTCTTGGCCAGAGCTGAAGGGTTGGCCCACTGCTGAGTCTTGATTATGATCCTGGACTCAGGGAATTCACGGGGTGGATTCATCAACGAACAGACGAAGGGGATGTAAAAGCATTAATAACACAGAGTGGGTGTATCATCTTTCTGGATGGAATCGGAGGGGAAAACCTAAAGTAATTGCCACAAACCCAAGGCCAGGAAATAAAATTAAAATGAAAAGTTCAGTCCCTTGGACACCGTTTCGAGGAAGTGTATTGTTCATTAGCTGTGGGAGAAACAGAACCACAGCAGGTAAAAACTTCCAGGAATTTCTGTCCAGGTGGAAAAATGTTGAACGTGGGTAGATTGGGTCTTTCCCAACAATAAGGAAGCGACATAAAGGGATGTTTGTGCAGAGTAGGGATAACCAAGGCCTCAAAGCCTGGGGAAAATGTTAGGTTTTAGAAAGCAGCGTTCAGAAAAAGTCCTGGGGTCCTCTCTGACTTCCCAACAGAAGCACCCATTTCACCTCCGGCAGTTTCATTTCAAAAATATTTGAAGAGGATTTCCCAGCTATGATGATAGACAAATAAGTGAAGGGAAGGAACCAGAAGGAGGTAGTTTAACACAGTAGTGTTAAAAGATAAACTCAGGCATATTCAAAATTTTAAGAGTTTATTTGAGCAGAAATCGTTTGGAATCAGGCAGCGTCAAACCGGAAGTAGTTAGGCGCGCTCCAGCCGCAGGAGCCTGGGGAGAGACGTTTATAGAGAAGATGCGGAAGCAAAGAAAGGAAATTATTGATTGGCTGGAGCTTAGAGCCTAGTTGGCTGGTTGAGATAGCTTGTCCATAGGTTTCAATTTTGTAACCTTGAGGCATTATAAGCTTAGATTTTGGTTTGCTTACCTAGGCCACCATCTCTTGCAAGGATCATCACCGCACGCAGGTGCAGAAATGCCCCCTCCCTGGGTCCACAAGCCCCAGCTGGGCCAGCAGAGGGTAGCTGAGACTGGGGCAACAGACAGGCAAATGGACCTCTGATGCAGTGGTTGGGAGGGCCTGACACGTGAAGAGGCATAACCATTCTCACGAGGGACCCCCATTGCTGGCGAAGTTGCTTGGGATGGAGTCCCTCATCTGCAGGGATCTGTCGGGGGTACCACCTGTTCACACCAAGCCTGCAGACCATGTGCTAGGTACTTACTTGGCAAACGGCCAAGGGAAAAGAGACCGAAACTACAGCACAGCCATCGCCTAAAGAGCCAGCTGTGTTTTCTCTGTATCCTTCTACCCTAACAGTAAAACCCTGCGCAGAGAAGGGGGCGGGGTGTGTGAGGAAGAAGCCAGAAGACCGCGCCCCTCCTTCTAGCCTTAAAGGTATAAATCAAGGCTGGGCTTCGGGGGTCGCCGCAGGGTAGGGAGGTTGGTGGTATCAGACTGGAATATGGGATAGACTTTTAAATTCGAATATTTTCAAGTCTTAAGCTTGGAATGAGAGTGCTTTAATGACGCAGAGAAAACTTAGGAAACCAGGCTGAGCGGGCAGGAGGGGAGCCCACCCCCTAGCGGGACCCAGCAGAGTTGAGAGCTAATGAGAATGACCCTCCCGTCCACACCGTAAAGGGGTTTTATCGTCTCATTACAACTGGGACATCTGTGGCTCTGAGAGGTAAATAATTCAGCCAAGGTCAAGTCTATCAATGCTGAGACTGGAGCCCAGATGCACCGGCCCCGGGGGGCGAGGCGGACGGGGTGGGAGGCGGAGGTGGGGGGGCGCGGTCCTCACTGTGGGCCGGTTGGCTGGACGACCCTAATGTATGCAAGTGCCTGATGCAGGATTTACAGTGTGAGCTGGTTGTTCTCTAGATTAGAAAAACCTTCTTCTGCTAGCACTGTGGAGGGTGTGGGAAGAAAAAGTTAGCTCCAGTCCTGACCAGCACGGGAGAGAAAATCCGAGTCTTGGGTAGGGCCGCAGCCCAGACGTAATCTGAGTCCTTTGTCCCAACAGGTTTGACAGCCCGTGAGTTGGTAGAAGTGTGTGAGTGTGATTGATAAATACACGAGGTTCTGCTCCGACGTTCCTGGCAGAAGCAGCCTTGTGGGAAGGAAGGATTCAAAACCAGCCTTCCTCTTTCCCCCTCTCCCTTCAAGGTCTTCCACAGGGAACACGATCCTCAGCCCCACCCCAGACACGTCCCAGGGGAAGGCAGGCCTGCGGGGCAGAGGCGTCCCCGGGTCAGCCTTGGAGGTGGTCAGCGGGCTCTGACCTGAACTTGCTAACACTGAGCTGGCCTGCCCTTGGCTGAAAAAACCTTCCCACATCCAGCATTGCCTCTTGGGCTCTGGCATCTTAAAGCCGTGCGTGCTCAAGAGAAAGCAACTCCAGACTGGAAAATGAGGACTCTAGAAAGTGGGGATTTGTGGAAGGTTTGGAATGAGGAGAGTGACCTGTGCCACGTCTTACACTATCTCTTGCCTCTTGAGGTCTCCGGCTCCACACGCCACTGGCTCTCCTTTTCTCCCTGGTCAGTCCTCTTCAGTGTTCTTCGCTGCCTCCTCCTCCCTCTGTTCCATCTCTTCTCAGGAAGCACTGGAAAAATCCTTAGAGATCTTTCAACTAAGTAAATTGGGAGTTTTCAGGACTCATTCTGGACCCTGTCTTCTCTCTACACTCTGCATAGGTGAGCTCATCCTTTCTCATTCTAAGTACCTTGACGTACTCGTGATGCTTAAATTCACATGTGTAGCCCAGAACTCTAGTCTCATTTTATCCTCTGGCCTATTTGATATCTTCATCTGTGTGTCTTGTGAGCATCTCAAACTTAGTATCCTTCAAACTGAACTTACAATTTTCCTTCAGTAAATCCTCTTGATGCCTACTCCAAATATATATCAAACGGATCTATCTTTTCTCCACCTCTTCTGCTCCAGCTCTTGCTTGAGCTAACAGTATGTTTCATACGGAACGTTTCCTGGTCATTTTTTTCCTGACAGTGCCTCTTTTTTTCTTTCTTTCTTTCTTTTTTTTTTTTTTTTAGGAAGATTAGCCCTGAGCTAACATCTGCTTCCAATCCTCCTTTTTGTTGAGGAAGACTGGCCCTGAGCTAACATCCATGTCCATCTTCCTCCACTTTATGTGGGACGCCTGCCACAGCATGGCTTGCCAAGCGGTGCCATGTCCACACCTGGGATCCGAACTGGTGAACCCCGGGCCCCTGAAGCAGGAACTTGCGCACTTGACTGCTGCACCACCAGGCCGGTGCCCTGACATTGCCTCTTACTGTGACCCTCAACTCATTCTCCATAGAACAACCAGAGTAATCTGGTTAAACTGCAAATCAAATCATTTTAGCTTTTTTTTTTTTAACATTGGCACCTGAGCTAACATCTGTTGCCAATCTTTTTTTTTTTCTTCTCCTCAAAGCCCCCCAGTACATGGACATGTTTGTATATTCTAGTTGTAGGTCCTTCTTGCTCTGCTATATGGGATGCCGCCTGAGCATGGCCTGATGAGCGGTGCCATGTCCGTGCCCAGGATTCGAACTGGGGAAACCCTGGGCCACCGAAGCAGAGTGTGCAAACTTAACCACTCGGCCACGGGGCCGGCCCCCTCATTTTAGTCTCGTAGTAAACCCCTTAATGGCTACTTATTGTATTCAGAATAAATCTAATATTGTACTGTGACCTGGCCCCTATCCACCTGTTAGCCATTTGGGCTCACCCATGTTTCCATTTCTTCTCTCCTTCCAGGCACATGGGATGATCGCACCTCATCATACCCTTGAAGTGGAGATATGACTATGTCACTTGCTTTGGACAGTGAAATGTGAACAAAAGTGATTTGCGAGCCAGTACATGACTATGAATGCACTCCCTTCTCCTGCTACAGTGATTAGGGAAACCACTATTGACGTGGTGGTACCACAAGACTGAAGCAGCCTGAACTGCTAGTAATACATGTAGGAGAGCTGCTCTGGAAGTTTCCCCAAATCCACAGTGGACTTTTCATGAGTTAAAAAAAAAAGCTTCTCTTGGGAAATTTTTGGGCTTGTTTGTTACTGCAGCAAAACATAGCCTATCCTGATTGCTATACTGTAGAAAGAGGGTTCCTTATGGGAATCCTCTTTAAAATAAAAACAAAGGACAAAATTGTTTTCAGAAAATTTCCTTTTTCATTAGACTATAAAAAAATTAACAACTGGATCATTAATTATTTACAAAAAGAATTACAATGAATCGTCAAATTGGAGTGAATTTCTGGGTGGACCAAGGAGCAGGCACATATGCCTCTTTGACAGGTAATGACACTCCCAGTTGACAAGTCGGGATGTGGAGGGGCAAGACTGGATCACCATGAGGAAAAAAAGGAAGACGTGGGTGAAATGTGACAGAGAGAGAATCTGATAGGAGGGCAAGGCCCCTTAGATGTGTTTAAATATCATTGCTAAAGTTAAACATTAACCAGGAAAGACATACTTTCTTCCCCATCACCCAAGTAGCACCTGCTTCGCTTTCTCTTAGGTTTCAAATACCCTAGGAAGGTTGAGTGATCTCAATGTGGCTGAAAGGGAGCAGTGTGTGGGGAGCACATATTTTCCAAGCAGGAGCATTTCTTTGTCCCCTTCTGCTCAGGCTCCTGTAACTATATATTTCAGTGATTGGCAGTGTTTAATAAGAACTTAATTTGGAGCATTGGAGGGAGGGAAGGAGAGAGAGAACACAGACAAATAGAAAGGCAGACAGGAAGGATGGAGGGAGGGATGGAGGGAAGGAAATCTATGATGAGACTGGAATATGCAGTCTCAGTGAGATAGGACCGGCCCTTTCTGAAGACCCCTCAAACACATAAAACAGTAGGTGACCCTGTTGTGACCCTTTTTACCCAGGGTGACCATACTTTGGGATGCTCCAGCTGAAATGGGGCGACCACTACCAGTGAATGTAGTGATTTCTAAGTGAGCTGGCCTCCAGGCATAGCAACCAGAAAAAGTCAATTCTCATAGCTCATCTTCTCCAGAACATGTGAAAAATCATCAGAAGATATTGAAAACAAGATTGCCCGCGTCCATTGACTCCAGGACATTGTTAAGGCATTCCACTGGCTGGGGTGCCTGTGTTATGTTTCAAAATTCCCTAGTTCTAGAGACCTCCCCAAGGAATGGGCATCCAGGCCTCCATAGCAATGTCTTTTTACAAAAGCAGAAAGGGGCTGCATTGATCAGATAGCACTTTCATCCTGGACTGTGAGAAATCTGGCCTGGGAAATCTCTTCTGTTCTCAGGGACAAGGCAATGTGCCCACTGTAAGGTTCATTTCCCACAATCCCTACAATTGAGTTAGTCCAGTTCCTGTGCACAGCTGGAGGCCCTCATTGTGGCTCTGCCTCCTGCATTCTTTGACGAAGCCATAGCTGGCCTCGAGGTTGGGACAACAGGCTGAGTAGAAAGCTTCAGGCTGGGCCATATAAGCCCAGGTTCCGGGCAGCTTGGGAGATCCTGGGAGTTTTCCTTTGAGGAAATGGATAGTGAGCTGGTTTTCCAGATCTGAGTGTGGTCTTTATGGAAGGAGGGCACTGAACGCCAATGTTTAAGGTGGATCCCACCACCTTGGTATGGGCACTGCCCACCTGACACTCACTCTGAGCTGCCTCTGGGTTCGTGGTCCCTTGCTGAGTCATCTGATTGTTTTCAAGCAAGCCTGGGTCTCCTTCCTCAGGGAGCCTTTGCTCAGACCCCATGAGCTTGCCCTTGTGTTTTGTCTGATGACTGGTTTCCTGGTGGAAGGCTTGGACCAAGCGGTGCATCTCTAGGTGTGTGTGCCATGGAGACTCAGGGGCCTGCGGACAGCCTCTGTCAGCCTCCTCCAGCATCCCTGCTGCCTCAGGATCTGCCTCATCCAGAGACAGTGAATGCCTTCTCTCCTTGTTAATCCAAACAGCACTGACCATGGATTCAGCAGGAGCAGCCATGTTCCCTCCTGAGAAAGCAAGGACAAGCTGGGTCACCAATGCAAGTCACATGGGCAGCTCTCATTTGGGGGGTCTCAGAGCTTTCAAGCTGAAGAAAAGCCATGCCCCAAACTTCAAGGAGGCCAGGTACCCAGTACACTGCATGTGTGTATATACACATACATGGGTACACACATGATCCCACGCATATGCTCACACACAGGCACTCTCTCCCACCCGACACACTCACACCCACACAAGCTGTCTCTCTTCCCCCAACACACACAATTATTCATTCATCCAACAAATATTTATTGAGTACTTTTTATGTGCTAGTCATTGTTTATTCTAGGTCCTGGGACTATAGCAGTAAACATTGAGGTGAAATCCACACCTTCATGCTGTGTTCTAGTGGGGTAGAAAAACAATAAGCAAATGAATATATTCTAATAAAATTTCAGGTGGTAACCAGTGCCATGGAGAAAAGCTCAAGAACAACAGAGTTTAATAAGAGACTTCAGGCTCTGACTGCAGTGAGGGGGGAACCCTGGGAAGAGGTAGGGAACTAGCATTTCAGGCTGACAGAATGACAAGGAGCAGGGCCACACGTGTTCACCCACATGTATGGATTCACATACACTCAGCGGTGGAAAAGGTGACTCCTAACCTATGGGGTTTTGTGTTCTGGGATCCTGATAATGGGTTTACCACCCAAGGCAGAGGAGGGAGGAGCTGCATTTCGAAGCAGCTCCTTTTGAAGGAGTGGCCTTCTCCTTCCATCCCATAGATACTGTTCCCTCTTTCTCAGGGACATATTTCTACCACCTTCTGGAACATGATAGTTTATTGTCAATTCTTGGTGGCAGCGAGAGTTGTGAGAATGACTAAAAGGCATTTTCCTATGGAAAATAGGTCTGTGACCAGCCTGGAGATCCCCCTGAAATGTCAGTGAAGCTCACTTGTGCTTGACATTTGTCACTGTGGGAGGCCCTGTAGGTGACAAAGTGCAGTGCAGGAGAGGGGAGATGGCGTTGGAGGAATAAAGTCAGAAAGAAGCCCCTGAGCCCCAGTTCTGGGAATCAGAGAAACAGAGGATTGATGCAGCTGTGTCTGCAAACCGTTACAGTCCCATAAGCACTGACTCCAGTGGTTTTGTTCCCGCTTTATAACCACGCTATTTTCTTAGCATGACAAACATGAAAACCTTTACAAATATTCAAGTGCTCTCTACTTACTTGAGAACAGAGGAGGATGGGGACATGATGGGAGAAGCTAGGAATTGGGATCCTCTCCCACTATGAGTCTAGGAGGAAAGGACCCAAGATGGACAGGCAGGTCTTGGTAGCAGAGAGGAGCCGACTCAGCTGTCAGTCCAGCCCTGGGTCCGCAGAGGACAAGGAAAGAGACTAAGTGGGGAGGTGCACATGGGCTCCGACCACAAAGCGGACCCTTCTGGGAATCACTCCATGAGCCTTCCATTGTGGTCCCCTGCACACCTTTGGAACGGTGCCTCCTCTCCACGGTCCAAGCAAAAGAAAATTAACACAATTATCTGAAGAGTATAGGGAAATTTCCTATCGTGTGCTTTATCTGTTTTGTTTTGGTTTTGGTCGATCGGGGACTAAGGATGACAGAAATGTTTTAATTATCTACATGCTTTCTTAATCCCCCATCTTTCGTTCAGTTTGCCAGAAGGTACCAGTTGGAGAAGGAGGATTTTGAGCTCCTCCTCGATCTCTCTCTTCAGCTGGGGTGAAGCAATGGGGAATGGAGATCTTAAAACCGGAGTTGCCTTACAGGGCTGTTGGGAGCGTTAAATGAAATGTACATATAAAACACCCAGCCCAGATATGAGTTCTCATCCCTAATCCCATTCCTACATGAGATGAGTCACACACCACCTAGATGTGAGAAAAGCATATGCCTTTTGGATACCAACTGTTGAGGCAATGGGGGCTTCATAGACCCCCAGCTCAAGGTCCCATGGTACCCCTATGTTGCATAAGGGCAGCCATGCTGCTGTTTGGAACTGCATTTCTAGAACTGAGATCCATTCCATAACGCTAATACAGGATGAAGAAAGCCAATTCCAGGGCCCTTCCTTCCATTGATCAGCTCCCAGAATACCTGCCCTTCCAAACACAAGTCAATGTCTTGACACTGAAATCTAGTTTTAGTAGGTACTGATCTCAATGGTCTATCTTCTAGGATCTCTCTGTGTACTGGACACAGAGGATCACTATCTTCTAAGTTCCCTCTACTGGCTTGGCTTCATGACATTAATATCACCTGGTTTTCTCCTACCATTAAAAAAATACGTAATTGTGCTAAGACATACATAACACAGGATTAACCATCATAACCATTTCTAAGTGTGCACTTCAGTGGTGTTAAGTACAGTCACCTTGTTGTGCAACAGAGCTCCAGAAGTTTTTTCATCTTTCCAAACTGAAACTCTATACCCAGTAGACAGCAACTCTCCCTACCCCCTCCCCAAGCCCCTTGTAACCACCGTTCTCCTTTCCATCTCTATGAATTTGACTACTCTAGGTACCTCGTCTAAGTAGAATCATAACAGTATTTGCCCTTTTGTGGCTGATTTATTTCACTTAGCATAATGTCCTCAAGGTACAGTATATGCCAGGATAGCCTTCCTTTTTGAGACTAAACAATATTCTTCTCCTGCCATTTTGACTGCTCTCTCTATCTTCTCTGGCTTCTCTTCCTCTGTTTGTCCCTTAAATATTTGAATATTCCAGAACTCTAATTTTCATCCTAGCCTCCCATCAATTGACACGGTGACCCTCCACCATCTTATCCATGCCCATGGCTTCAATTACCACCTGCATGTTGATGACCCCAAACCTGTATCTCCAGCCCAGATTTCTCTCCTGACGCCCAGCCTGGTTGGGAGTTCTAGAGACAACTCTCTCACATACTGCATATTCAAAAGCAAATTCCTCTTTCCCTACCAGAAACCTTTTCTCCCGTATTCCCCACCTCAGTGAGTGGCACCACCATCTACCTTGTTGCTAAAAGTGCAGGCAGAATTGCTTTTCTGCCTCCCTAGCATCATTTCCACCTTATTTTTGTAATCTTACCCTGTTTCTCCCTGGAGACCTACCTTATTCCTCCCACTCAGTCCAAGTGCTTCAAGTGTCCTTCCAACTCAGACTCATGTGACATAAGTGACCTGGTCCTCAGCCACTCAGCACATAAAGCCCTGAGGAGCTTTATACATATCAATTCATTTAATTCCTACGACAACCCTATATAGTCAAGCACTGCGTAACAACATTTTGGTCCATGATGGACTGCGTATATGACGGCGGTCCCATAAGATTAGTACCATACAGCCTAGGTGTGTAGTAGGCTATGCCATCTAGGTTTGTGGAAGTGCACTCTATGATGTTCGCACGCTGACGAAATCGCCTGATGACCCATTTCTCAGAACGTATCCCTGTCTTTCTGCAACACGTGACTGTACTTCAGGTTATGACAGTTATTCCCAATTGACAGACAAGGAAACTGATTCACAGGGAATTTACATAACTTGTTCAAAGCTGCATATCAAGTAAATGACAAGAGCTGAGACTCAGACTCAGGCTCTTCCTCAAGTTCACGACCGCTCCATCAGACAGTGCACTATGTCTCACAATTAGAGAAAGGGTGTGGACTTGCCAACTGTTAGGACTACTCTGAAAGAGCTTTCCGGAGCCTGGGGGTCGGAAGTCTTCCCTGAGAAGGCAGCGCCTGAGTATTCCTTGCATTCACCTGCCCTAACTTATCACGCAGTGCCAATGGAGGAGAGGACACTGAGTTACAGAATGCAGGAGAGAGGGCTGTGGGGAGAGTCAGGGACAGGGGATGGTGAATCCTATGGTGCACACTGCGTTTGGGCTGTTTGGGCTGTCTTTTGGACATGCCCCTTATATGGATTTGCGCATCTGAATCATGGGTGTGTTAAGCATGTGCTTTCATTTAACAGAGGTTTCATTTAACAAGTGTTTGCTGAATGACTGAATGAATAAACTCCCTTGAGGATGGCACAGGGCTTTAGGAACGGTTCAGCTTCTGCCCTGCAGAGATGGGGGCTACTTGGCTGTGCCAGTTCAGGTCAAACAGATCCTACTGGTTGGCAACAGCCCAAGTCATGAGGGATGGGTGCCTTCAGCGCAGAGGTGCCACTTCTGTCTCCAAAAGGCAGCACAAATCCTGTCCCGGATGGTGAAGTCCCCTGGACCCTGATTCCTTCCCAGCCTGGCCTAGTGCAGGGTGGGCCACTCGATAAGTCCCAATCTGTACAAATAACCACAGAAACCCCCAGGCACAGCCTTGACCTTTCAGGGGGTCTTCCCACCTCCCTGGACCTGTTCCTCTGTCAGAGGATCAAGGGCTGGGATGTGACAATTGTTGCTTCCTGAGCCTGTACTCCTAACGTCCTCCTGGGATGAAAGCTGTGTTCCCAAAGGACAGAGGCTTCTCCCCTGGAGGAGGGGCTTCCAGGTCTCATTGCGCCTCCCTGGCTGCTCTTAGAGGTGTGATGAGCAGCTGTGTGAGCATGAGCGCCTCCTGGTTCCCTGAGCCCTGCACTTCCTCTGGCCAGTTCGAGGGGCTGTCGGGAATGCCACGTCTTCTGTCTCCGGAGCCAGTTTCTCAGGTTTGCAGGAGGTGCCCCGTGAGACCCAGACAGGAAGCAGAGCCCTTATCTCCCCACCTGGCCAAGCAGGGGGGCTAAGCCCGGCTCACCAGGCAGACCAGTCCAGCAAGACCAGAACCTAAGAGGCCCTTGGCTCAGGTGGCAGAGGGACTGAGCCGGGCGGAGCTGCCCGGCCCTGGTCTCCTTGCTCTCGCTGTGACTCCTGCCAGCCTGCATCCCTGCTCTTCCCACCAGGAGAGCTCCCAGAGCCCTGGCCTGCCCTGCCTGCAGCCCAGCCACCCACGCCGCCCACAGCCGGGCCCTCCTCCCCTCCCCTTCGGCCCAGCACCTGCCCAGCCCTACCTTTGGGAAGCACCACGACGTGGGCCTGGGCCCTCTGCTGCCGCCTCAAGCCTTCGTACTGGGCTCGCAGGAGCTGGATGCTGAGCGAGGGCCCTTTCCCTGGGGCCTGAGTCCCGGAGCCCTGAGCCATGAAGTGAGACCCCAGAAGCCAGAAGTGGGGCAGGGCCAGACATGGGCAGGGCAACCTCTTCATCCGGGATCCGGGAGGAGAGCAAACAGTGGGGGGCGGGGCCGGGGGGGGGGGGGCCCCCGCGGTGGATGAGGAGAGAGGGAAGTGAGGACAGGAGGTGGAAAGATAGGGGGAGGAGTAAAGCGGGCGGAGAGGAGAAAGACTGGTGAGAGAAAAAGGGGAGACAGAGAAATGTGGGGGAGGGGGCACGTAAGAGGAGCAGGAAAAACTAGAGGTAGGAGGAGAACCCGGGAGGAGGAAAAGAGGGGTATGCGAAGCTGGAGGAAGACTGGAGGAAGGAGGTGATGTGGTGAGGGGATTAATAGGGTGAGGGGGATTAATGGCGTGAGGGAAGAGTGAGGACCACGGGGGAACAGGGGGAGGAGGAGGAAGGAGGGATTAGGGAGGAAGGATCGAGGCGCATGAGGGTGAGGGGAAGAGCAGGGATATGAGAAAAGCAAGCCCAGCTGCTCAGAGTCCTGGAAGTCCAAGCTGGCGTTGTAGTCCAGGTCCTTCACTGCTTGATCCCAAAGTTTCGAATCCAGTTCCAAGAGTCCCCTGAAGCCCCCTGTTTCCGGGCAGAGCTGGAGCTGAGCTGGGGAATGCCAAGTGCCCGCTCCGCTCACACCTCACGGACTGGGTCCTGGACGCTCAGCAGCAAAACTGCCCACTGGGTTTGCAGCTGGAAAAGGAACACCCTCCGCAGCCTCACAAAGCAGGGGCCTCGGGCTTGTGCATGCTGCAGGGCTGCCCTAGGGAGACCCAGTGGCAAAGGTGCCCCCAAGATCTCTACTCACCCCCCAACACATCCGAGGAGAAAGCCCAGCTCCAAAGTTGGCCGCGGGGACAGAGCCTCCAGCCAGCCCCACCTCTGTGATATTTGATGCCGTCTCTGGTCTCTGCCATCTCAGCATTCTCCAAACAAGCCGGGAGTTGGTGTTTGTCTTCCCACAGCCAGGGTGCCCTCCCGCCCTGCTGGCCAGCCCCACCGTCTCTACATCCCCTTTGAATCCTAGACCCTTTCTCCCCTGCACCAGCTTCCACCTATCCTTGCTCCCTTTGGTTAACTAAGTCCCTTTTTATCTTCTCCCAACATGGGGTTTACAGATTTCCCAATTACCCAACTTGCCCACAGAGGCAGTGGAAACAGAGTAGCGGCTGAACTTAGGAGATATTTTGGAGGTTAACTGGATGGGATGTAGTCATCCCACGTGGGGAGTGAGAGAGGGAGGGTCCATCTTCATTGGATAGTGTTAGTTTGCTGGGGCAGCTGTAACAAAGCACCACAGACTGGTTGGCTTAAAAAATAGAAATCTATTGTCTCACCATTCTGGAGGCTCAAAGTCTGAGATCCAGGTGTCAGCAAGGCTGGTTATTTCTGGGGGCTGTGAGGGGGAATCTGTCCCATGCCTTTCATCCAGCTTCTGGTGGTTGGCTGGCAACCGTTGGCATTCCTTGGCTTGTAGAAGCATCAGCTGATTTCTGCCTTTATCTTCACATGGTGTTCTCCATGAGTGTGTCTCTGTGTCCAAATTTCCCCATTTTATAAGCATATCAGTTATATGGGATTAGGGCTCACCCTAATGACCTCACCTTAATTCAAATCATTACGCCCGTTTCCAAATAAGGTCACATTCTGAGGAACTGGGGTTAGGGCTTCAACGTATGAATTTTCGGGGCCACAATTTAACCCATACCAGGGAGAGGAATGGTAGTTCCATTCACAGAGATGACACAGGAGAGGAGTAGATTGGGGGAGGGAGAAGAGAAGGGATTTATTTTAGATGTTTCAGGAGCCTATGGCCTTTGGGTCATCAGGAGGGAGTTAGACGCTTGGTGGAGAGATCTGAACTAGAAATGCGGATGTCATCATTTGTGAAAAAGATACACTCCATTATTGGAAACGGTTTACCGTTAGACGGTCAGGCACACATAGAATTGAGAGGTGGTCCTAAGTAGCTCTTTCATTTCCATTTTCAGTCTCCCCATTAGCTTGTTCAAGTTCATGTTTGATGGGCAAAAGAGAGTCCTCTTCTACACACTCCTACTTTCTTCCTTCTCTTCTCTTGTGACTTCTTTGTCTTGGCTTCCCTCCATCATTAAATTCTAACTATTGAAAGAGGAGATGAATGGTCTAGGCTGGTGGAGCTTCTACAAGACTACTCCTTAACACAACTTCTGTGCTATTATGTTTTTTAAAAAAGTCTCACTCTGTTTTCTCCACCTCATTAAGACCTCCTTAGTTATCCGGGCTTGGGTTGGGTGGGGTTCCATCGGCTGAGTGGGTACGCACTCCTGGAAGAGGGTCATGGAGGCGAAAATGCCCACTCTACCTCAAAAGAACAGAAATCTTCAGCCCATATGTGGCAGCTGAAGTCTTAGAATTGGATGTTAAGTATAAGGCAAGGATCTAGCTATTTTCACTCCCAAATAATTGCCCAATTGTTACAATACCACTTATTGAATAAACATTTCTTTCCCCATGATTTGCAATAGCACTAATAATAGCATAAGAAAAAATTGGAAACTGTATCCCATCCCAGGGAGTCTTCAGAAATAAATAAAAAATATGATTAAGTCTGTAGCCCTTCCTGGAAACATGATGATGGCTGCCACCCAAAGGTGTCCTCTATTATTTGGGTAGACTCTCCAGGGGAGTAAGAAATAAGCTTCAAGTTTGCTCCAGGTTCGAGACACTGGAGTAGGGATGGGCTACCTGTTATTTGAGGAAATATTTTCTTTTTCCAAATGTATTTAAATTGTACTGAACCTGAAAATTAAAATCTGTGGTTGAGAGATGAGCCTGTGCTTCATCAAACAGGTCCCCTAATTAAAGGAGTCACTCTCCCTGCAGCTCTCAGTGGAGCTTATAGTAAAGGAAATTAGACCGGAAGTATCCAGGTCCACTCTTGTCCAAGAGATCCTGCTATTCCATGAGATTTGGGTGGCAACAGGTGTCACTTATCACTAGGCCACGACTCCAAAGAGAGTCACTCCCACTGGAGGTACTGTAACCTAAAGGCCAGCCATTGGTGGGTGGAGATTCAGAGACTTGAAGAAGGAAGCCCATAGGGGAGGTGGTGTGAGAGCCAAAGGCCAGGAGAGCCAGGTACACAGTGGGGGTGGGGCAGGAGTGGATCCTGTCCTTGTGAAAGACTTAAGTTTTGAGTTCTTTCTACTGGAGACTCCAGGGACAGCTTAGGTTACCCCTATTTTTGGCTTCTCCTCTTCTCTGTAATAATTTCACTCGGAAATTATCCCACCTCTGCAGCCTAGTGGTGTAGCCTTAGAAAAACCAAAATGGCAGGATGGCAAGGGATGGGAGGCCTCCCTGTGATATCTTCTCCCTGGTTCCAGGAAGGAGGAGGGCCTCGTCCTATGGAGTTGACTATGACTTGGGGTTCCATGTGGTGAGAGGCAGTGTCCACAGGAAAGCCAGGTATGACAGGAAAGGACTCAGGGTGTTGAGGAGTGCTCCAGGGCAGACAAACTCGTAAGTTCAAAATTTTCGGCCTTATCAAGTGAGGAAGATTCCGCTCTGAAAAAGATGAGTGTGGGAGATATATGAAAACAAAAATTGCATACATTGAGCCCAAACTACAATGGGCCAGGTATATGCCAATCACTCTGTGTACTCAATCAATTTTTTATTGTTGGTGAAATAGACGTAACATAAAATTTACCATTTGAACTATTTTAAGTGTGCAATACAATGGCATTAAGCAGATTCACAGTGTTGTGCAACCATCACCAATATCCATTTACAGAACTTTTTCATCATCCTGAACAGAAACTCTGTACCCATTAAACAGTAATTCCCATTCCTCCCTCCTCGCAGCCCCTGGCAACCTCTATTCTACTTTCTGTCTCTATGAATTTGCCTATTTTAGGTACTTCACATAAGTGGAATCATCCAATATTTTCCCCTTTGTATCTGGCTTATTTCACTTAGCATGATGTTTTCAAGGTTCATCCATGTTGTAGCATGTATCAGTACTAAGTTCCTTTTTATGGCTGAATAATATTCCATTGCCTGCATATCACATTTTGTTGATCCATTTATCCGTTGATGGACATTTGGCTTGTTTCCACTTTTTGGCTACTGTGAATAGTGCTGCTGTGAACATGGGTACTAGTATTTGTTTGAATTCTTGCTTTCAGTTCTTTTGGATATATACATAGGAGTGGAATTGCTGGATCTCATGGTAAATCTATGTTTAACTTTTTGAGGAACCTGTATAGAATCAGACTTAATCCCCCATGAGAACATTGTGACAGAGGCAGCATTCAATCCTTTCTCCTTCACCTTTTATATCAAATCCATCTCCAGGCCCTGGTGGTTCCAGCTCTATCTCAAACCTGTACACTTGTCTGCACCTTCACCACCACCAGCTTAGTCTAAGTTGTCCTTGTTTCTTTGTCCAGGACCACTGTAAGAGTCTCCTAACTGGCTTCCTCACTTCCAACCTGTCCTCTCCCATCCATTCTCTTCATAGCAGTCAGGGTTCTCCCGAAGGCACAAAGCAAACTGACTCTTGTGTCTTCCCCCTGGTTAAAATCCTCCAGTGGCTTCCCAATGTACTCAAACTAGGTTCAAATCCTTCTTGTTGTCTAAGAGGTCTGTCTCACCACTCCAGTCTCCTGGGTTGATTTTTCTCTTGCTCTCAAACTCGAGATGAGATTTCCTACAAATGGGTGACATATGCACAGCTTCTGGTGGCTTCTGCTTCCTGCTTTTTGGAATTCTTGCTCTTGGGATACTCCTTCTCTGAGCCTGGACAGCAGGCCATGAGCAGCTCAAGCAATATGGAGAGGCTGCATGTAGGAGCTTCAGTCAACAACCCTAGGTGAACTCCCAACCAGCGGCCAGCATCTACTGCCAGCCATGTGAGCAAGCCCCCAGGACATCCAGCCCAATCGAGCCTTCAGATAACTTCAGCCCAGCTGTTATCGAAATGTAGCTTCATGAGAGATCTCAAGGGAGAGCTGCCTACATAATCCCAGGGAAGGCACATACCATGAGAAATAATAAATAGTTGTTTTAGTTCACTAAGTTTTGAGATGCTTCATTACACAGCAAGAGATAACTGAAACAATCCTGGCTGTGAATGTGTCACCTCTGGTGCTCAAACCTGCTGTATTGGGAGACCACCTGCTAAATTAGGAAGCTGCCAGGACAACTCCTAGACCCCTAGACACACCGCCTCTGCCATGAAACACATCTACAAAATGGATGCATGAATCCTGCCTCTGCCCATAAAAATCTCAGAAAATGCATCTGATTAGTAGAACCCAAAGCATATCCGGAATCCTACCTCCTAGAAAGTCTGGGGAATGTAGTGTTCTTTTTGAAGCTTCCCAACTTTTGCAAGATAAAAGAGGATTGAAGTAATGTTGAGCAAAGCAATCCACACTATCAGTGACCCATCCTAATTCCTAAATGACCGAGAAATTGCAAGACTCAAGAAAATAAAGAGAATGTTTAAAACGTTTATGCTATATACATCAGACTCATTTTTCACTCGAAACATCTTTTGTAGTCAGTACTCCGTAGACCTTTAAGACACATTTCATTGCACTAGATTATTATAATGTTCAAAGAGATCTTACCTGTATCCAGCTGATTATCTGTATCCACTCTGAGAGTTCTTTGATCTTTCCTATCTTTTTAGCAAATATAAAGAGCAAATGAAACAAATAATACTGCTTTGATGCTTGGTCACACTTTAACCAAAGGGTATAGATGTCTTTGTAGGTTGTACTCATGATAAAGAAATAATGAGATATTTTACAGTCTTAAAATAGAGATAAAATTTATTTTCAACATTGTCATATGTTGTATTTTTTCTATTGAGGGAAAACTCACGTAACATAAAATAAACCTTTTAAACCATTTTAAAGTGAACAATTCAGTGGCGTTTATTACAGTCACAACGTTGTACAATCACACCTCGATCTCATTACAAAACATCTTATCACCCCAAACAGAAACCCAGTACTCTCCCTTCTGCTATGTCCCAGGGACTCCCAACCACTAATGTGCTTTTTGTCTCCATGGAGTTGCTTCCTTTGGATATTTCGTATCAGTGGAACCATGCAATATGTGACTTCTGTGTCTAACTTCTTTCACTCAGTGTAATCTTTTCAAGCTCCATCTTGTTTTACATGTATCAATACTTCGTTCCTTTTCATGGGGAACAATATTCCATTGTATGACTATGTCACCTGTTGTTTATCCATTCCTCTGTTGAGGGACATCTTG